GCCACAAGGACTTTTGAAGGTATGATAGTCCAGAAATCATGGAAAACAGTGCAACCTCCATGAGCAACCAATCACATTGTAATGCAATAATTACAATACTTGAAAGAGAGCAGAGTAAATGGACGGAGAAAATGTAAAACAAATGACTGAAATGAAACGCATTGGAAATCAACAAAAATCCTAGCAGAACATAAGAAGATGATATTATGTGGTCCCATCCACTGTGGACGAATGGACTATCAGCTGAGATGCACCAATCAGAATCTGTTTAGGAGTTTTCTAGTTGATAAGTTGATTGATACCCATTATTAAATTTGACTTTGACCAGACAATAAGGATTTTAATAACGGCCTAGATAGTGCATTAGTACTATTTCAATATATTGAAATAGTGTAATTAGATATAAAAAGTTCTAATAATAAAAAATAAAATAAAACATAAAACAATGCCAAAAAAATTCAATATGAAATAAATGTAAAATGGTCCTTCTTTTTGCTGCCGCGATAAGAATACCTGAGCTGTGGGACTTGAGAAATTTTTTGGCTCAAATTGCAAGCCAACAACTTAACCAACAATTAATTAAAAAGGCAACGCAAATAATGTTCACTCCGCAATGCATCGTTTTAAGGAAAATTATCAGTAAATTCCAAGTAAGAAAATAAAATACAGATGTGAATGTCAGCAGTATTGAAGATTCCTCAAAGATGAAACTGGGCTGAGAGTCTCCTCAATCAGATTTGTGGTTCATTTTTTTTTTTTTGACAAGTTAGCGATAAGCGCAATTAAATCATCCGAGGAAATTCCAAATGATCGAACTTGCACTCGTCAAGTCAACTTTGTTTTTTTTTGGGTTTTTCAGAACGTTTTTTTTCCTTTTGGGACCATGTAGACACGCTAAAGAAGGCCGAAAATTCAAATTTGGCACATTTCACTCTTACGAGATCTACTATCTCCCGTACTTAATAAAATAACTAGTTTGATATTTAATTTGGTTTTAAATATAATATCATAATTTATTTTATCTATTATATTTATTCATTTTTTTAGACAACTTTATAGTAGTTGCACATCTTAAAGATTTCATCAAATGGTAATTCTAACTGACATATATTATTAGCAAGAATATTTTAGAGAAAACAACACTTATTTATTATAAATAATTAAATTTGTTTTTTTTCAATTTATTTAAATTAGTCATTGGAGGACGTATATAGGGGGGAAAAGGAATTGGAAGGTTGATACACATTTTCACGGGAAATTGTGGAAAACTACAGATATCTAGATTGATGAGAAACGACAAGATGTAAATTCTCACGGAACCCAAAGTTTGGGATGAAACTGGTCCCTTGATGTCATTCTCAAGTACGTTTCGTGTGGAAACTTGAACTACTCCAATGAGAGGTCTGTAGAAGAGAGTAGGAAGAATATTGGAAGTTAATTAGTGTCCATATCAATACAACTTTGTATAACTCGAGTAGGAGGTCTGTAGACTGAGATAGGTTTTGCTAAAATTCCCACTTTTCTACTTTAGAAAAGTTTTAAGCTTTTGATTTTATCAACGGCTAGTTGTCCCAGCAGTAACGCCACTGATCACGTTTGGATAAGGTCTTGGATTTGAACCTATTTTTCACATATTTATGTGTACTGTATTTAATTGTATTATATAAAAAATTGACTTTTTTTTCAATTTTCTTTATGAATTGGTTTAAGTTGAAGTAAGTTATATTTTCATTAAGCCTTTGTGTATTACTCCTTCTTGTGCATGTTATGAAGATTTCTATCACATTTCTTAATATAACTTTTTTTTTTGTTTAAAATAATAGTTTTCTTATCCAGTATTCCTTGCAAACTATAAAAATTTTTAGCTGATTAAATAAACTCTTCTAACTAATTGACTTTTATTGATAGTAATCTTAACATTTCACAAGGAAAAAAACTAATTTTATTAACTTATATAATTTACATAAAATTGTTAATAGGTGCTTATAAATGGAATCAGAGTGAGTATTATTATATAATGTGTTACACAAAAGATTTGAGTTCTTCCCTACAAACGTCAACTTCTCTTTCAAGTTTCAACAGTGTTTCTTATGGTGTTTAATATTCTTGTTTGTAAATATATCAAAAATTGCATCATACTACCTTTGATATTTAATATAAGAGCAAAATAACAAGTTTGCAAAAATTAAAAAATTAATTAAATTAGTTATTTGTAATAAATGGATGTTATTTTTTTAAAAATATCCTATTAATCTTGCATGTTGAAATTACTATTTCATCAAAACTCCTTAATTTGTATAATCACTATAGGTATTATTTAGTAGTAAAATAGATAAATATTGAAAATAAAGTAAATTAGGGTTTTATATTGATAATCAAATTGAATTTTTAACTGACTCTAATATTAAAGACCAAAGGCAGCATGTAATTTGATTTAGGCCGGTTCAGTGGGGTTACGATTCTGTTTTGCTGCAGTTCGTTATTCTGGATGTTACTTAACCTTATTTGAAATATGGAATAATTTTCAATGGCCACACGTTACACAAATTGGTGAATAAGGTTGATATATTTCCAATAGAAATTAATTGTAGACTCCAAAAGCATTTTTCCCCAGAAAATGACTATAAATATATCAAGAGATGAAAACTGCATATGCCGACTGCATAGGTTGTTAATTCTTAAACCATTATGGTGAAAAGAGCGAATTCGTTATAGTTAATTGCTAAGTAATTATTGTAGATAACATATTGCAGGAATGGTCAAAATTTGCTAATTATCTTACATATTATTTTGCACCATTATATATCAATATTTTTAATGGCTCAATGATCACTTGCTACTCCTCTTATCCTTAATGTAAGATATAGCTAATTAATTTGTATAGATTAAGAATATTAGTTAAATTAATTAATATGATATGGTTTTTTAAAACATTCTAAGTATCTTAATTCCCTCTCTCCCTCTCCTGTTTAATTATTGTTGGGAGAATATTGATAGGGTCAATTTGATAAAAAAATAGATACACTAGTAAATTAAAATAGGTCTTACATATAAGACTAATATTAACTCTCTAATTAGGTCTTACACGAGAGGAATATTATGCCTTGCGTGCAGATTGGCTGGAAAGACTAGTTGAGATGACATAATATTATTATTATTTTAAAGAATGAGGAGTATAGTTGAAAATTTCGCCAACGATAAATACAACTTAAATATCAATCGGAGAATTTGAAATGATAAAACTTTAATTTGACTGTTCATGTTAATTTTCCTATTGCTTTTCTTTTTGTTTTATGGTAATGTCAGCCATCTGATAGCTTCTTTTTTCTGGCCCATTTTACTTTCACACACACACACACACACGTATGTATAATAATAGGGAGAATTAGCTCACGAGAAAAGAAAATAATTACTACTCCTCCAATCCTTAATATAGGCGCTAATTGTTAAGTTAATTGTAATCTTAAATATAAAACCTATTTATCATATTTATCAATTTTTTTAAATTACCCCTATAAATACTCCCTTAACCATAATCAAGTAAGTAAAGAAGGAAGTATATTAAGAAAGATAATTATGATATTTTAGGAAAAACATGTCATATTTCTTATAATTAACTAACTTTCTTAATCTAATCAAATTAGTTAAATAAGTCTTATATTAAGGACTGGAAGAGTATTAAACTCTAATGACAAGTTAGTTACAGATTTTTTTCGTTTCGTTGGCCTAGTCAAATCATTCTTGCGTAGCATGCTTGGAAGTTGGAAAGGTTGTTAAAACAACAACAACACCACCAGAAAAATATTTTATAACAGTTTAAAAATGATTCCTATTTATATTTTCTTTTTTGCAACTCGGAAGAGCATAGGTATTGATATAAATAAGCATAAATAAGCATTAGCTTTTAAGTGTAATAATAAACTCCTCTATAGCAAGAACAAAAATATTGGCCGTAATGATCAACGACTAAATTATTGGATAGGCTTGGGAAAATAAGCTAAGTAAAATATTTGAAACGGTCAAGTTCCACCTATGCCTTAAACTACGTTTTTTTAGTAGCACTCATTATTTGTAAGTTTTTTTCCAACTAAACTATTGGATAGGCTTGGGAATTAAAAGGGTTTGATAGTTTTTTTCACCAAAAAAAGGGTTTGATAGTTTGGTGGTCACAAATTTTTGGTCAATTAAAGAGTCATACATTCAAACCCTGCTCTTGGGTATCTTAGCTGGTAGCGATTAACTTTTTTTTCCTCAAAAAAATAAAATAAGAGTATTTTGGTCATTTCACATGAAAAAAATATGTTTTTATCTTTATTCTTACATATTAGATTGAAATTTTAGAATCTTTTAGGACCTATTTAAAATTATGTATTTTTTAGGACTTTACTGAAATTCTCCCCCCTTTTTTCTAGGTTAAAGGACTCATTATATTACATTTTTGTCAATTGGTACAACTACTTTGTCATATTTATGATTTTCGTTGTATTGCATGGAGGTAATTCATTTGTATAAATATGAACATTCGTTAGCCAAAAAATAAAATAAAATAACTAAAATAAAAGCATTAGCTTCCAAGTGTTGAACTGTTCTACTTCTCTAGTCCTATGTATAAATCATTTTCAACATGTTTCATATATACCAAGAAAAATCTTAAACTTGATTAACTCTCATTTAAAATTTTAACTTTATCCCTATTTAATATATATTATACCTCATAAACAAAGCCAAACAATAATAAATAAAGGGTAAAACTGCACATTCATACAAAAAAAATTTCTCTCAGTGTCCTATAAATAGGACTAAAAAATATCTTCTCTCTCTACCGTATAAAGAGATGAAAGCTACAAATGTCATCTCCACGTTCCAGACAAACCAATGGTATTTTGCGTTTACGGGGACCAATTCAACTTGGAAATAGGAAAGATCAATAATTAATTATGAATTCCCTACAATTTCTAGTTATATAAACACACATACCCCATCGTCTTGACTAGCGTACACAAGCCTCTACTCATATTGGTTTGAATCTGACATCTCTTGAGCTGCATGGTTAGTTCATTTCTATTTTCTATTTTCCTTATCTTCTGCTTAATTAACTGTTCCCACTTTATATATGCTTATCGTAACATAATAACATGAGCCAGAGATAGCGTCTTCATAGAATTCAACTGATCTCATGGGGAAGGCACCACAATGGATTGCATGCTTCTTCTTCATCCAACTTTTCCTTAATATCTGTGATGCGATGGCAGACGGAAGGGAACTCACCACCGGCGATGCTGCTGCTCACCCTGGTAAGCACATGAAGGTGGATTTGGGGTGTTAGCTACCCCTTCTTAGCTGCCCCTAATTTTTCTTTTTCACTTCTCAATTTCGTTTTTTTTATCATTAGATTTTGTATAAAATAAGTAAAATTTTAATATCTTATGGGTAAAAAAAAGTACTTTAGAATTGTGTTGTTTCTTTTTAATTTAGATACACTTTTTAAAAAAATATATAAAAAATTTAAAGCCGTACCATTTTTCTCGCATAAAATATCAAACTATCATTTATTTTATATAGAAGCTAATGATAAACAAAAACAAGAAAAAAATTTCAGAAGTGAAAAAAAAATACTAAGAGGCAAAGAGGCCGCAGCTAAGAACGGGCTGATACCTTTAATGTCTGCAATTGTCCATCCAATAGCCTTTTTGTAAACCTTAAGGACTTCCACCAATTGCTCTTCTTGTTGTACAGTGAGATTAGAAGAAATAATCACCGGTAGGGTATTGTCAGAGCCTAAGTAGACATACTGCAAATGAGATGGTAAGGTCTTAAGTTCAAGTGTTGGTGGCTCTTTAAGAGATGGCTTTAAAGCCTGTCTTTCTAAGGATGAAAGGTCCCGAGTTTCAAAGTATGCTCGGCCCTTAGAGTAAGAAGATGAGGCATTCATTAATGCCAATACGTTCGCTACTTCTGTGTCATATGTTTCAAGTCCCTACAACACGGCTTCAAGAGGGTCCTTGAACATTGACTTGTTAAAATCCTCTTGGACAATTTGATCAATGATGTCTATAAAAGAATACTACTCATGATGGCTTGGTGCTTTCATTAAATGGTGCATGTTGAATGTTACATGTTTATCATTAACCCTCAAAGTTAATTCTCCTTTTTCAACATCAATAAGGGTTTTAGCAGTTGCTAAGAACGGTCTCCCTAGGAGCAAGGGCATTTCTTTATCGGCTTCAAAGTCACGCACAATAAAGTCAGCAAGGAATATAAATTTGTCAACCTTAACCAACACATCTTCAATAATTCCCCGAGGGTATGACATGCTTCTATTAGCCAATTGCAAAGTAACAGTAGTCAATCTAGCTTCACCTAACTCTAACTTATTGAAAATCGAGAATGGCATCAGATTTATACTAGCTCCCAGATCGCATAAAGCTTGCCCTAAGAACTTGTTTCCAATATGACAAGGAATAGAGAAACTCCCAGGATCCTTCTGCTTAGGAGGAATTTGCTTGATGACATCTGTGAAACTTGTAACACCCCGAATTTTCTGACTCAGGATGAGCAGAAAAGAGAAGGTTCATTAAAATTATTTAATAGCTCAATCACAATTGGGGAAAATTATGGAATATTGATTTTTCAAGGTTTAGAAATATTTTGGAAAAGTTCATTCCCCAAAAACTGGCTTAGATGATTTTAAAGCTATTTTCATAGAAAAATGGGTTATTTTCTTAGGAAAATTATTTTATGGGTCAAAGAAGCTAATGGATAAGAAAAATCCATTTATGATATTTTGGTTTAATTTCTGGATATATCTTATATTTCAGAAAAATAGGAGAAGGAATAAGATTGGAGGAATAATTATTTAGGAGGGCAAAATGACTCAGCAACCATGTAGTACACGTGCTGCCTTCTTTGTTTGCCACCTGATTCACTCCCTCAATTATCAGCTGGTCATCCACGTGTTCTGTCTCTTTAACCTCCAGACCGATCCTACCCTCCTTTTTCATCTCATTCTGTTCTGCAACGTAGAGGGAGAGAACGAGAGAGAGAACGCAGAAGAAGCTACCAGCGAGAAGGTGATCGGAGGTGATTCTATTGCATGCAAACCGATTAATTGATCAAGGTGAGTCTCTTAAGCACACTTCCATCGTTATTTTCTGCTTTGGGAGGCTGAATATGAAGTTGATGATGGGTTTGAGTTCGGGTTAGAGAGAGGAAGTGGAGAGTTGGGGTATCAAGTTGCAGAAATTGTATCCAAGGACTAGAATGGAGTGTATAGCTGTTATTTTAAGGTCTTCATGTCTTCTGTACGCCTCTGTTATGTGACTCCAAAACTGCGGCTGAGTTTATGAAGCCACGGGTGTCGGGTTTACTGTTAAAAAGCAAGAGAAGTATGTTTTCTTGGATGTATGTTCCTCTCTGTGCCTCTGTCTTGTGTTTCCGAAACAGGTGCTAATAACCCATGAAGACAGTATCCGGTTCTGCATGTTGAAGTTGAATCACCGAATGGTTGCTCTGTTTTGACTTCGCCGAAACAGAGTTTTATGATCACGCATGTGTTTAGTTGTGGTTGTGGGTTGGATATTGCTATTAAAAAAATATATATATATTTTTGATTCTGCAATGTGCTGTCCGGAGGGGGGTTTACTCGAAATGTCTTGAGTATATAAATGTTAGTTGATGTTTGGAAGTGAAGGGAACCGTCAATGAAACGGGAATGGTTAAATCCTATTATATTTATATAATATATATTTTGAGTGCTTGGTTCAGTCTTTGTGTACGAATGGAGAAGTTATATGCATATATACAAATACATATGTAATAAAGTATGTTGCTGTGGCGTGATGGGATAAAGTATGTCTGGAGAAGTAGTAAGACTTATTGTTTGAGGTTGTAAATGAGGAATAAAAAAATTAGATTGATCAAAGTGTGTTGCTGTGGCGTGATGGGATAAATTACGTGGGGAATGTCTTTGGATCTGGAACCAAAAAGATTTCCTGATTTGTCATTCTGTGAGGCGTGATATATTGAGAGGGAAGGAGATACTTGTTTTAAGATGAAGATATAATAAGATGGTTAAGGTTGAATAGATTAACGAATGGAACTCTTTTTAGTTGAATAAAAATGTATCTGGGGACTTAAAAATGTTGATTTAAAGTTGAAGGAGAGACTCAAATAATTTGAATTATTTAAGAGGTTAAGAGATTCAAGTGGATGGTATAGTTAGAGAGTGAAATTAAATAGAACTTGAGGTTATAGGTGATTAAATAATTATGAGGATGCTAAAACAGTAATTGTTTGGGTTGAGATAAGGAAGGAAACTCTCCAAAGATAAAAGTTTAAATAAGAAAAATTGTCCAGGATGACCAACTATTAAGTAAGGGTAGAGATTGAAAGAGATTGGGATTTAAAGAGAGTTATTTAATTTATAAATTATGTTGGATCAAGTATTAACCAACCCTTACTAATATAATAGGTTTTGATATCTGCTCAAGCCCACCAAGAAATAGAAAGAAAGGAGAATGGTAAGGTTTGATTTGGAGGGATGCGGACCAGGTAGTAGTTCTTTCCTACCTTACACTTGTGTATGATTGCTGCATGTCTGTTTGTGCCATATTACTTTTCTAAAGCATGAGAACATGTAATCCTTAATTCCTTGCATGGATTTTTAACCGTGACCACGTGCAGCTGATAAACATGGGGCAGTGATTGCCAATTATATGCGCGGCAGTGATTGCCAGTTATTTGCGCGGCAGTGATTGCCAGTTATATGCGCGGCAGTGATTGCCAGTTATTTGCGCGGCAGTGATTGCCAGTTATATGCGCGGCAGTGATTGCCAGTTATATGCGCGGCAGTGATTGCCAGTTATTGGCGCGGCAGTGATTGCCAGTTATTTGCGCGGCAGTGATTGCCAGTTATATGCGCGGCAGTGATTGCCAGTTATTTGCGCGGCAGTGATTGCCAATTATATGCGCGGCAGTGATTGCCAATTATTAGCGCATTATTTATTCAGCTTGTCTAATAGACATGGGACAGTGATCGCCAGGTATTTGTGCATTATTTATTCAGCTTTTCTATCTGTCATCGCGCATAAATGCTTAATTGTATTAGCTTGCAAGGTTATGTTCCACTTTGGCTTGTTTTGCATGTTTTATGTGATCTACACATTTGTTTGATGGAAATTACTACTACGGGGATTCTTCGGAATCTCACCCCCCAATTTATGATGAACAGTGAAGGCTAGTAGCTAGAAGGACAAGGAGGTTATTTAAGAAGAAGATGGGCTGGTTGAAGAGCAGAGATACCTGTTATAATTCTGTAAATTGTATAGCAAATTATATGGGCAAGTAACTTTACTTACTCTATGGAAATATTATTTTGTATCCTCTAGAAGAAGGAAGTGAGCATTGCCAGGTGCACGTATATGCTGTCAACCAAGAGCGTTGCTTTATTTTTAATATAATATTATAAGATTGTATAGTATGAAATTATTTTAGATGATAATAGATTAAGTTGAAAGTAGGGTTGATATTGGATCACTCATCAGTTATCTGAAGCTTTGAAATATTTGATCAACGGATTCTAATGTTAAAGGGAAAAAAAAAAATTCCCTGTCTTTTCCCAGAACGGAAACCTGGCGTTAGTGATTCACAGACGTTAAAATGATCCTATTAGTATATAAAAGTGAGGTGTTGCATTTATGGTATCAGAGCATGAGGTTCTGGCTTTAGGCAGAATGCTCTGCTTATGTTCTTGTTATATGTTAGACTTGTTATAATTCTTAGAGAAGAACTAAGGCATACTAAGATATGAAGTTCAAGTCCCCAATGAATCAAGGGTTTTGAGTAAACTTATAAAGCGTAGTTCGGGCTAAGCGTAGATTTAATGAGATAGGAATTATATAAATGTGATCCGAATAAAATATTAATTTGAGGTGTGTTTAAGGTATATTTGACATAAGTTTGAGGTATGGTTGAGGTTTGTACTTTAGATGATGTTCATTGATGTTCCTCATTTTAAGTTCAATTGAGGATGAACTAGATGTTTGGCATTATGATTTGAGAAGTGCCATGAGACAAGAGAATATACAATAGTTGTAAGCTAGCTTAGATTCCTGAATAGATAAGAGAAAGTACTATGAGACAATAAACTGAAAGGGATGAAGACTTGAGAAACTTATTATGAATAGAGAACCTCTTGGATATGTTGTCATAAACAAATATTTGAGCCCAAGAGATAGTCTAGACTTGTGAATCTAGTATACATGATTATGAGAATTGGGTACCAAGTTAGAGGATT